CTGAGTGTGGCTCCTCAACAGGAAGGTGAAGCAGAGAGTGTGTGTGGATCATGTCCAGGGAGAGAAGAAGTTCCCAGAATTCTCCTGATGAGAAGGCCATGCCTACAAGAAGGCATTATCAGGCTGTGACCTGATTGACAAGCTAAATTCCCCCCCTTCACTCTTAATACCTTCAAACTGATGAGATTATGTAACTACCAGAATTTGTAATCCATTTAATTCCATAAGAGGAAATGTTGGAGTTCCATTTGGTAGAAACAATTTAAATACATATACGCAGGAAAATTACACTGGTCTAGTCCTTGAGACCATAAAAGATAGAACAGGATTCTTCTAAAGAAACTGATGAAGGAGGGCAGTGTTTTTCAAACTATTCATCAGGCTGACGTACCTAAAAAGCTGTTGAAGCAGGCCACTAAAATCAAACCAAACTCAAGGCTATTGCCTCAATTGCAGCTCACAGCCATCTCACAAACTCACAGAAGCCCTCACAGTAGGTATCCAAAATTATACATCTTTTATGGGTGCAGGCAAACCTCAACATTCTCCTATAGAGTAGCTGGTGGGTTTGAACTGCTGACCTGGTGGTTAGCAGTCCAATGGATACCCGATGACACCAATAGGGCTCTTTGAAGCAGATGACTCACTCCTATCGTGTCAATTCTGACTCATAGCAACCCTATAGGACGGGGTAGAACTACTCCTGGGGGTTTCCGAGACTTTAACTCTTTACAGGAATAGGAAGCCTCATCTTTCTCATCCGCATCCCTGTGGAACAGCTGGTGGTTTCAAACTGCTAACTTGTGGTTAGCAGCCCAACAAGTAACCCACTGCGGCACCAGGGCTCCTCGAAGCAGGGGAATGGAGGGCATAGTCCCCTCCTACACTATCTTTCTTCTTAAACGTTCAACTCTAAGGATGGTGGCTTTGTGTTCATCTATATGATAGGTTGGGGTTTCATATAAGAGACATTTGAACTAAGGATTCTATAACTTTAGAAAGGCGTGAGAAACCATTGGTGTAATGAAAGAACAAGAGTTCCTGGTGACACACTGGGTAAGCTCTCTGCTGCTAGCAGAGGGTTGGTGGTTCAAACCCAGCATGCAGCTCTGAAGGAGAGACCTGACAATCCACTCTTATGAAAATTCCAGCCTGCGAAACCCTCTGGGCCGTTCTGCTCTGTCATACAAGGTCCTTAGGAGTAGGAATCAACTTGACAGTACCCAGTGATAACAAGTAAGAGAACTGTGTTAGGTCGGGTTGACTAGAGAAACAAATCCAGGGACATTCATACATGTATAAAGAAGAGCTTTATATCAAAGAGCAATTGTATATTGAGAAAACAACCCAGCCCAGTCCTGATTAAGTACATAAGTCCGATATTAGCCCATATGTCCAATATTAGTCCATAAATTCCTCTTTAGACTTACGCAGCACATGCTTAAGGCCAGTGGGTGAAAGTCTTGTGGATCCAATGGTGGTGGGAACATCTCCAGGGCTCTGGCTGCCATCAGTATGGCTTCATGTGGCTTGCCAACAGAAATGTGTAGCAGAGTGGTCACCTCCAGGGACAACGAGAGGAAGTTCCCAGAATCCTCATGAGAAGGCCATGCCCACACAGAGGCATCATCAGTCTGTGACATGATTGACAGGCTAGACTCCACCCCTTCACTCTTAATAGCCTCAAGTTGACAAGGGATTATGCAACTACCACAAGAACCAAGTGCAACCTGGGAGGCAGCCTGGTATTACTGAATAATGAATAATGACTGCGGTGGGTGGGGGGGGGGCACCTCAGAATCCAAGTTCTACTGTGGTTGATGCACATGTTGAACAGCCAGGTAGAAGGCTCAGTTCTAGTTTTCACATAAATTATGCCATTTTTAATGCCATTTGCTCAGTAAGAACTTGTCTAGTGTAATGAGGTTACAATGGGGTTATTTCTGTGTCAATGATAAAGTAGTAGCAGAGAAAGGGGGTAAAGAATATGTGGAGGCCATTCTTCTCTTTTTTTAATGTTTTTTAATCATTTTATTAGGGGCTCATACAACTCCGATCACAATCCATACATAGTACATCAGTTGTGTAAAGCACATTTGTACATTCATTGCCCTCGTCATTCTCAAAACAATTGCTCTCCACTCACGCCCCTGGCATCAGCTCATTTTCCCCCACCCCTCCCCGCTGGACCCTCCCTCATGGACTCTTGATAATTTATAAACTATTATTTTGCCATATCTTACACTGTCCGACATCTCCCTTCACCCACTTTTCTGTCATCCGTCCTCAGGGTTTTAATGGCTTTATTAGCATTTCATCCACGTCATACAATTCAATAAAAATCATATCAAGAAGAGTTGTGCAATTGTCACCATATTCAATTCGAGAACATTTTCTTCTTCCTTGTAGTCATTGTTATTCGTGTAATTGTTTGTGTATTTGTTTTTCTAACTGGGGCAAAAATATACACACCAGAACACTCTTCAATTCCACCACTTCTATATGGTTCACATAGTCTGTTAGCTCTTTGCTCTTTGGACTAATTGTTTCCTTAAGTTTCTGCACAAGGTTAGCAGTTTGAAACTACCAGCTGCTCCATGGGGATGTGGATGAGAGAGAGGAGGCTTTCTATCCCTGTAAAGACTTGCCATCTCGGAAACCCACATGGGTACTTCCTCCCTGTCCTATAGGGTCGCTGTGAGGCAGAACTGACATGATGGTAATGAGTCACCTGTTTCAAAGAGCCCTATTGGTGTCCTCAGAATTCTCCAATTGTACAACTTGTCTAATTCAGGGTTATTGCTTATACTCTTCCTGTTGTATAACCATGGCTGATACCAGGGGGCAGCCTCTTCTTCAATGGCTCTTTGGGTGAACGTTTTCAGAGCACAGTAGTTTTCCACTCAGCACTGTATACACACACACTTGGTTTGGTAACATTCCCTCCTTGTCACTGCACCGTGTCCTCCCTACGTTCTCCATTTCCATCTGTCTGTCATTCGGCCTCTAACTGGTTCCTGAGCGTCATTTTGGTTTCCTATAGTCGGTAACTCGGAAGTTCATTCCTCACGGGTATGACTCTCCATTTCATAGCACGTCTCCGTGGCTGCCAGATGATCCAGCTTTGAAGGAGCCCAAGAACCACAGGCTCAGGGGTTCTGATGATTGCTATCAGACCCATGAGTCTGCTCGTGTTTATCATTTTGAATTTCGGTCTCCATTTTTCTCCCATGCTGCCCGGATCTCCTGTGGTCCTGGCCAGAGCTGTTGGCAGGGAGCTGGGCAGCATCTGGTCCTTCGGGTCTCAGGCTAGTGGAGGCTGTGGTTCACACAGTCTGTTAGCTCTTTGGACGAATTGTTTCCTCAAGTTTCGTATTTTCTTCTCACATCTTTTTTCCAGATGGGGATAGATACAACATAGATGGCTGCTTGTTAGTTTTTAAGGCCCTCGTCACTTCTCACTGCAGTAGGGTGCAGAATCATGCCTTGGTGAACCGCGTGATGCCAGTTGAGTTAGCTGTCCTCTCATTCTCACCAGGCACTTGGATATGGCAAAGTTTTTTTTATAATTTTGTCTCCTGTTTGCTTTGCTGTATACCTGGATCTCTTTGCCCACCCACTGGCATGGAATACATTCCAACTCATAGCAACTCTCTAGGGTTTCTGAGACTGTAAATCATCCAGAAGCTGACGGCCACACTTTCTCCAGCAGAGCAGCTGGTGAGTTTCAACCAGCAACCTTGTGGTTGGCATCCCAATGCCTCCAGGACTCCTGGATATACCTTTAGAGAACACACAAATACTTATGTTGAGATATCCTTTGCCAAATCCATATATGGTCGTGAGTTTGGTCTTGTTCACCAACCTATACCTGTTCAGCTTGCAAATCTGCCTATGTGTCTCCTTGTAGATTGTTATTTCTGCTATTGCAGAATTTGATACCATGATATGACAAGCTGGGTCTTTGTCACTTGATTAAAAAGGGACAAACAGATGGTGAGAACTGCATGGTTGAAAGTGTTAATAATAAATAGCTACCAATGAGTGAAGAGAAGCCCTGGTGGCACTGTGGGATAAGCGTTGGGCTGCCAACCATGAGGTCAGTGGTTCAAACCCCACATTGTCAACTCCATGGCATAGGGTTACTGTTGAATGAAAAGTTTACTTTACACAAGGTTTTTTGTCCTCATAGAAACCATGGAAGTAGATTTTATTATTCCCATGCTCAACCATCAAATTCACTGCCATCCAGTCGCCCCTAAAGAATGGGGTAGAATTTTCCTTTCGGGTTTCCAAGACTTCACAGCTTTCGTCTTTCTCCCACCGAGCTGAGCAGCTTGTGGGTGGGAACTGCAAGCCCGGGGTTAGCAGCTCAGTGCGCAGCCTACACCACCATGCCTAAATAATACTCCTGATTAACAGGCTCAGCTTTGAAACTGGAGCCCTGAGTCCAAAGCCAAGGTTCTGGTTCAAATACATGCACACATTGAAAAGGTGCAAAAGCAGTGAAGTGCTTTTGGTAAGCCATCGGTGAAGTCAGAGGAGGCGCCCACGTCCACTCTTTTTACTGTGGGGTAGGTAACTTGTGCGGAGGACGGTTGGGCAGGCAGTAAGGAGTTAGCACCGAGTCGAGATTTAGGAGAAATGTGGAGGGAGCTTTACCCCAGCTCCCTTGAAAAAGTCTCTAGGAGTTGTGAACACCCCAGGTTATGCGGAACGACCGGGCCAGGAAGTGACTCACCACATTCCGTCGCCGCCGCGCGGAAGTACCTTGTGCACAGCGCTCGGGTCCGCAAAGCAGGAGCCGGGAGCTGTGGGCGGGGCTTTAGTGCTTTTCGGTTTCCTATTGGAGCGTATAGCTGCCAGTCGCGGCCTCCCAGCCCCGCCCCCTTTCCTTCCCGCCTCCACCCCTTCCGAGCCGGACGTCAGAGAAACGGCGGGCGGGAGGGGCGGGGCAGCGCGGCGACTTCCGGTTGAAAGAAAAAAAGTTGGGCAGAAGGCGGGGCCACGAAAAGGGAGGAGGAGGAAGAGGAAGAGGAAAGGCCGGGCGGCAGAGGCAGTAGGTTGTGCGGCGACGGCGGCTCTCCTCCCGGTGGACGATGGACAGCCAAGGCAGGAAAGTGGTGGTGTGCGACAACGGCACGGGGGTAAGCGCTGGGCGGGGAGGCCGCGGCTGGCCCAGGCCTCGAAGGGAGGGATGTGCGGGGGCCCGCGGGCCCCCAGTGCCGGGGCTCGCCTCGGGGCCCGGCCTGCCGGGCGAAGGGGCTCGAACCCCCGCTTCCAGCCTCCGGAGATTTACGGAGCCAGCGGGCCGAGCACCAACCCTGCAGCCCTCTGTATCAGGGCGTCCGGCGAGGCCAGGGATTGACCGGGACCCCACCTAATGTCCAGACGGGGGTCGCCTCCGTGCACGCGTGGGACCAATTTGGCTAGAATGGGGGGGGAGGTGGAGGTGGAGACAGCGAGCCTGCTGGTGCAGTGGAAGCAGAAAGCTTCTGAGAGGGACGTTTGGAAGAGGGCCATGAGCCCAAGCCTGGGTGGCTCAGATGATCACAATTTACACAGTGTTTTTAAAACGTCTGCAGATCACGGATTTTCTCCCGTTACCAAGAGAGAACGCGCCACCTCCACTGGGGCCTTCATGACGATGCGTCCAACGTCCTCTACGAAGACCAGAGGCAAAGGCCCTGGACCCGGGATATTTGTAAGCATTCATTTCCGGACATCAAGAGACAGCATTTGCCCTGATCCGAGAACGGCTCCGTTACAGACGCTGCTGCTCTTGCTGCCTGCTGTGTCTCCGTCAGGTCACCTGAGATGCTCACAGCAGCCCCTCGGCACCCGCCCACTGTCCTGTCGCACACAGAAGTCCTGGCACAGCTTCAGGCTGTCTTCCCAGCCCGTCCTAGGCTGGTTTTTGCCTTCTCATTTTCTCTTTCTTTCCTTCCAGCAAACACATTCCTAATCAAAGACTTTCAAGGATCTTTACTGACTTTCAGAATTGCCCAGGTTTATATGTAAAAGACAGTTCCTTCTGTCATTGTGCCCTTTCATGGGAAAACAGTTCCCGTTGAGGCGACACCCTTTCCACGGCAGAAGCCTGCTTTCCATGGCCACTGGCGTTGGTAATGCGCACAGGCACCTTTCCAAACTGCCATCTTCCTCCCCTGCCAAAGGGCAGCAAACACGGTCCCCTCAGTGGTTGGCATCTCCCGCGCAGTCTGGGAATGCCACTGGACACCTGCCACGCCTCCACGAGGCGCCAGTCCTGGCCCCTGTGCCCTGGCAGGAGCCCAGATTAGTCAAACCCTCAAACCCAAGCTGTGATTCACAAATCATTCCATTAATGTCGGGCTGCTTTGTTTGGCCCTGGCTGGGGAAGAAGAGTCCCTTGGCTTCTAACTCCCTTTGAAAGTTTGCTAAGGAGGGCCAAGTTCTTGACTCCCTGTTTCCCTTCTGAGCACGAATCTCTCCTAAAAGACCACAAAAGGAGCAAGCATTCTGTCCCGCTGTCCCGCTGGTCCCTCCTCCACACTGGTGGGTGCGGGGAAGATGGCAGTTCTGGTGGCTGGCAATGTTCTTAGCACTGAAGTGATGCTCAGGCAAGGCATCTGCTTCTGAGCTTTGTGAATCGCTTTGAAAGCGAGGTCAAGTCTGGCACAGAATGAAGCAAGCAAGGTCTTCTGCACTTGCTCTAAACTGTGGCCAGAGCCCTTAAGCCGAGCTGGGACCAGCAGAACTGCCTGGGGACATGAACCTAACTTTAGACGGTTGGTGAGAACAAGCAGATCCCTGCCTCGCGGTTCAGCGGAGAACTACCCAGCTGAACCCAGCAAGTTAATCCCCTGGCCGGCTCCACAGACACGGAGCAGCTCCCGCACCCCCTGCAATAGGCACTTGATCTCATATTTAAGTGCTGGAGGTATTCGTGGTCAAGGGGCATGAAGTGCCCGTTGCCAAGAAGCTGACATAGAAGTCCGCATCCTTCCAGCCAGCTCAGTGGTTCACAGCATCATTGGAAGCAAACGGAATCGGCTTTTCTCTGGCCCAGCCATGCTATAAGGTGCCCAGGGGGAAAGGCTCATCTGTGCTGCCCTTCTGCTGTGATAACGGTTGCCACTGGCCAATGAGAGGAGAACATTCTCTTCTCTCTTGAGCTCGATCGCTTATTTAATCCAGAAAATGTGTCGATCATTGGTACAGAATCCCGTAGGAGATGAAGGACTAGGTAGGCACATCGAAACATTCTAGATGAAGAGGTTCAATCGTCACAAAGTCAGGAATGATGTTAATAGATAAAGAACCCTCCTACCTGCTACCGACTAAAAAGAAGGCCGGTGCTCCGTGTTTGAACCAGTCTCATTTTTCACTTTTTGATCAAAAGGTCCCCAACTTTAAATTAGCTTAAGGAGATTCATTCTTTTTTTTATTTATTTAAACATTTTATTAGGGGCTCATACAACTGTTATCGCAATCCATACACACATCAATTGTGTAAAGCACATTTGTACATCATTCTCA